ACACACACACACACACACACACACACACACACACACACACACACACACACAATCCAGACAAAAGACAGACCTTGATCCAGAAGGGAGGGTAGCTAAAGAAGGCTGAGAATGGGGAGGACTCTAGGATAGGACTGCCAGAAATGACCAGGAGAAGCCTGAGGGGCAGCCAGAATCATATCTGAGGTTCAGTTGACTGGATGGGGGCCTGACAACTCTGAACAAAGTCAGGTCAGAGAAGCAGGAGGCCTGGGTAAGGAAGGGTCTGGGAGGTAGCACATGGCACAAAGCTGGGGAGGGGAGAGGGAACATCTGAGTGACAGAAGAGTCCCCAGGAAGGCAGCAGAGCCTGGGAAAGCAGATGACTGTGTCCTGGGGTTTAACTAGGAGCTAGGGAGAGCTCCTGGGACTCTTCTTTGGAGCTTAGGCTTGGAGGATGGTTATCTGGGTCCCTGGAGGGAAACTGGAGACAAGGGGGCAAATGCCTTCGATCTGATAGGGAGCTAGCATGTCCAGTTAAGGGAGGCCAGGCAGGAGCTTCGGTGCCTAGGTCCTAGTTACCCTCTGGGGACAAGGAAGCAGGACTCCTGGCCCTTACAGGAAGCCCAGGTTGGTGACTCGACAATGAACAGGAGCTGGGGGCAGGGAGACAGGACACGTGGATCCTTATGGGGAGGCTGAAGGCAATACTCCTGGGTCCCTATGGGCAAGGCCTGAAGGTTACCCAGTGGTAAAGCTGGGGATGGTGCCCCAGGATGTTTAGGATGTGATGGGGAGCCTGGATCAGAGGCAGAGATGGGGAGCCTGCCGGGAACCGGCTTTGGGAGGGAGGGGGACTCCAGGTGACCCTGGAGGTCACTCAGCATGAGGTCAGACAGGGAGGATGAGACCCAAAGGAAAGGTCAGGCAGCGGCAACCAAGCACCGACTTGACTTCCTGACTCAGACCTACCTAGGACTTGCATGCACAGAGCTGGCTTCCGGAAGGCAGAATGATCTCAGCTTCAAAGAAAGATAGAGCAACCACAGCTCCAGAGGAAGGAGGCAGGTTGATCTCAGTTCCAAGGGCTCACGCTTTCAGTCGGCCCACTCTGATATTCCCAATCCAGGGAGCCCTACCCTGCCCAGTCCAGCTGAGATCGCAAGAACTTCCCTTTCTTCCAAAGGCTCCTAGAGCTAGGACCTGAGACCCTGCCTACCTCTCCTCCCTGAGCCCTGCCCTCCATCACGTGGAATGATTTGGCCACTAGAAATAAACTTCTTCCACTCTAGACTCCTCCCAGGCCTCCAAACTCCACCCCGAGGCTCGAATAGCTCCTGGACCACCCCCAACCAGGCTGGTGGACTTTGAAAGTTCCTCCTCCTACAACCCCTCCACCTCCCTCCCTCCCTGCTCTGGGAATCAGACCTTCCTCCTGAACAGAAAGAATCTCCTGGCCTTTTTCCAGCTCTGCCCCGCTACACTCATCTTTTCCCTATCTAGGACATCCAGGCCCTACAGGTGCTTCTCCTTTGTCTTTGCTCCCTTTGGGATACAGACCTAGTAGTGCCATTTCTGGGTTAAAACGTATGCACAGTTTGACAGCCCTTTGGGCAGAGTTCCAAACTCAGCCCCAGAATGATAGAACCAGCTCACAGTTCCACTCGAGGTGCATTACTGTCCCTACTTTTTCACATCCCCTCCAGCATTCGTCATTTTCTTCTTCTTTTATGTTAACCAATATGATGGGTGTGAGGTGGTACCTCGGAGCTGTTTTCATTTTCATTTCTGTAATTATTAGTGATTCAGAGCATTTTTTCATATGAATATTGATAGCTTCGATTTCTTCCGTTGTGGTTTTCAAAGGAAGAAATCCACGCTATCAACAACCATATGAAAAAAAAAAAACGCTTCACATCTATAATCACTTATCCAAGTCACCAATAATTACAAAGATTCTCAGATTGGCAAAGATGACCAGAAAATGAAAATGACAAATGTTGGCAGACCCCAGGACTATTAGACACACTGACACTCTCAGTGGAGCAGTGAACTGGCCCAGTCATTTCTGTAAAACAATTTGGAACAGTGCACAAAATGTTCCTACTCTGTTCATACTCCTTGACCCAGGAACACCTCCATTAGGCCCATGTGGCAGCAAGATGAAAGAAACAGGAAAAGAACCCAAGTTCAAAAATATTTTAGCAGCTCTTTTTGTTATAGCAAAGAGTTGCAAATTAAGAAGGGACCCATCTGTAACCCTAATGGCTGAGAAAATGATGACATGTTAATGTAATGGAATAGAATTTTACAAGAAGAAATTTTGAAAGGCATAATAAAATGGAGAAACCTATGGAAATTCATATGAACTGAAGTGCCAACTGAGAAGAACCAGCAGAACAAATCATTCAGTGGTAACATTGTAAACACAAACAACTTGAGTGACTCAAGAACTCTGATCAATAATGCAGTGGTCACGGAGGAGAGGTGCTTCCTACCCCCTTACAGAGAGGTGATGGATTCTGTGCGTATTGAAGTAGGCATTCTGGGACATAGACAACTAGGGAGTTTATTTTGCTTGACTGTACATTTGTGACAAGAGTTTTGGACCTTTTTTTTTCTTTTTTTCCCATTCTCATCTGGAGGAGGCCAGGTCAGAGGGAGCGAAAGTAAGTGTTTGTTACTTGAAAAAAAAAAAATTAAGTTAAAAAAAAAAAAAACAAGCTCAAGGGAAAAAAATGCTCCCAATCACTAATTAGAAAAATGCAAATTAAACAACTCAGATTCTGCCTCAAACTGATGTAATTGATGAAGATAACAAGAAAAGAAGATAAGCATTGGAAGCTCTTTGGGGAACTAGTAACCTTAATTCACTGCTAGTGAAGCGATGAAATCCAAAGTCCCTAAATTGTGTATCCACTTTGACTCATTGACAGTAATAATGGGCATATGCGTCTGACAAAATCAAAGAAGAACAGGACCCAACTATATGAAAATATTAATAATAGCTCCTTTTGTTACGGTAATGTACTGGGAACCAGGCATGATATCCTTCAGTGGGGGATGGCTGAATTAATTTTGATAAATGAATGGAATGGGCACTACTAATATGCCATCAACAATAGATAACTTTAGGGAAACCTGGGAAGAAATAGATGAACTGATACAGAATGAAGTTAGTCGAACCAAGGGAATAAGTGATAACATTAACCTTGTAAAGACCAGCAACTTTGAAAGATATTACGACTGATTATTGTAATGACCAATCATTATCTCAGAGACTTCTAAATATCTATGCCACCTGCTTTCCTACCATGAGGTGAGGAATTCAAGAAGTAGAATAAAAAGAACTTTTTGGGATATGGACCATGTGAAAATTATTTTGCTTCACTGTGTTTCCATGACAAAAATTTATTTTTTTTTTCTATTTGTTTGGGAGGATTGTAGTTTGAGGGGGGCTAGAAACAGGACTGCCTCCCTCATAGAAAAAAGAAAAGAAGAAAAATTGATGGATTTAAAATATATATATATATATATAGAGAGAGAGAGAGAGAGAGAGTAGAAGAAGAGGAAGACCAGAGGAATCAGGGCAGCTTTGAAAGTGCCATATTGCATTTTTTAACTGCTTAAAAAGTAAAACAAGGTATGCATAATAAAAATTGTTTCAGGAGCAAATCTTTCTGTGGCACGTGTGTATAAACTGCTTTTTTACTCTGTGTTTATGGATTTCAAAATTTTTAAAAATCAAATATTGATACTTCGCTTTTTGTCATTGTTTGCCGATTTTCAAGGCATGACAATATATGGCAAAAAAAGAATTAATGTGACTTTCTCTTACTGTTGGCTCTTTGGATCATGCTTTCCTGGGGTCATTTATAGCTGCCAATACTTTTCTTTCTTTGGCATTCGGCCCTCATGTATTGGTAATGGCTCTTGATACACAGTTCACACACTGGGTGTCAGTTCTCTCTAGATCTGGGACAACTTTCATTGGTTATATTTGACTATCACTGGACAATTTCTTTTCCTGTTTGACCTTCATTTATTTTATTCAAACCTTTTAAATTGCATGTAAGTAGAACTACCTACTTTTCTAAAAACTCTCTTGAAATAAGAATTGCCCTAGTCACAGTTGTGAAATGTACTTCAATGCGTTTTTCTTCTCGTATTAAAATTGCATTTTATTATTATTTTTTTCAGTCTGCAAACATTTGCCCTCCCCTTCCAGCGCTGCTGGTGCAGACGTGTACAGCCAAGGGCAGCACGCGTGCATTGGCACGTCGTGGGAAACGTGATGCTTGGCAGCGAGGCCTCCATCTCCATCGGGAGGCGGGCAGCGGCTCCTCGGCTGCTGTCTGGGGTCCAGGCTGGCAGCGGAGGCCAGCGGCTGCCTGGGCGGCTTCCCCGGGGCGGCTCCTCACTTCCTCGTTCCCGGTTCTGCTCGCTGCGCTCTGCATCGCTCCACCAACTCTTCCGAGGCTTCTCGGATCCTCCGCCCCCTCCCCCCCCCGACGCAGCCCTGCCGGCGCAGTCACGTGACGCCCCTAGCCCGCCAGGGCCCGCCCCTCTTGGGGCGTGGGCCCCAGCGGCGCTCCGGGGGGGGGGGTCGCCCATTTGGGCCCTTTGTGTTGGGCGGGGCGGGGGGGGGTCCCTGGCTCTGACCCTGGATCAGCGCCCATCGACGCCCGCGACCCCTGAATCATCCGGGAAATGGACAATTTCGGAAGGAGGAGGATCCCCCCCATTCCCCAGCCCCCTTCGAGGGGGACAGTCAGCTCCCTGAAGGCCCGTGGAGGTAAGGGGTGGGCCGAGCTGGGGTGCAGGGGCCCAGAGGGAAGAGGCGTCATTGGGGATGAACTGAGGTCTGGGGGGAGGGGCGTACGGTGGAGAGAGGGAGGTGCTGGGGGCTGAGGAGCGTGCCAGAGGAGGGGGCGGGGCAGGGCACGGCCCTCAGGGCTTTCTGGCAGCCCCGCCCCCACCTCTGCCCGCGGGCTTCGCTCCTGAATATGCGCGGCCCCAAGACTACATTTCCCAGAAGCCCCCGCACCGCGCGCCACTTCCGCTTCTTCCCCGTTCTTACCCAATGACCTCGTGACCTCAGCTATTTCACCCGTCCGGCTGAATCGGCTCCCGGTCGTCTGGGTGGGCGAGTCTCGAGCTCCCCGGAAGACCCCGAGACCCGGACGTTCCAAGCCGCCCACCCGCCACCGTACCCGAGAGTACTGAGCCCCCAACACCCCCTCAAACTTAGAGGTCTCGAGCCTTCCCTTGCACTTGAACCCTGCCTTTCAGAGCCTCCCCCCATCGAGACCCAGGCTCCCAAAGCCCCCTCCCCCCCGGAACCCCCCCGAGTCCTGCCCCACCTTGATCATCAGGATCCACGATGCCCTTCCCTGCCACCCCCCGCCGAGCCCACGCGGCCCCAGGAGCCCCGCGCCCCCCGCCCCAATTCCCCCCAAGTCTCCAGTGCCCCCGCTCCCTTCCCCTACGGAGAGCAGATGTCCTGCTCCTCCCCCGAACGTGCACCCCGACGTGGTGTCTCCTCCCTCCTTCCCTCCCCCCAGTCTGGCCCTGGTTCAGCCCCCCCAAAGCTGGTTCTGCGCCATCTCCTCCAGCACCCGCCAGGATGCCTTGACGTTCCCCTCCAGGAGCCCGTCTCGGCTGCCCCTTGCCTGGGGGGGGGGGGTGTCTCCACTATCCCCACCCCCACCTCTGACCCAGCCAGCATCCGGGGCTTCTGCCCCCCTGCCCCCGACCACAAGACCCCTGCCCTCCCTTACTGACCCCTGCTGAGGGTCTGGAGGTGTCGGGCTGGACTCTGGTCCCCTCCGGAGTTTGGAGGTGGGCGAAGAGGGAGGGGATGCTCCCTGCCTACTTTAAAGATTTATTCGTTCTCGGGACTGATCGCACTCGCTTTCCCCCAGGGTTGTTACACTCGGGAAGCCTTCCCGGGGACCGGGGCTGTTTCCAAGGAAGCCAAGTCCCCAGTCTGCCTTCTGTGATTCTGGGGCCTGGGACCCCTGGCTGCTCATGTGTTCCTGCTGTAGTCAGCAAAAATGCATGAAGTGCCTACTAAGTGCAGGTGCTAGGCTAGGCCAGAGTGATATCAAAAGGCTAAAAGATTACCTGGCCACAGGAGCTCCCATTCTGTCACGTTATGGAAATGATGTGTGTGTGTGTGGGTGGGTGGGTGGGTGGGTGGGTGTGTGTGTGTGTGTGTGTGTG